ATGCGCAAGAAGCCACTGTTGTGTGACCATTTTCAAGCAACAACCCCTTTCAGTTATATAAAACACACAAATATTAATCGAACATTAAACCTTATTACATTGATACAGTAATTAGTTTATTCAAACAATTGAAATTAAAGAGCAGAGCAGTTACAAAATAAATGACTTTATTCAGTGAAACATTTAAGGATTTAAGAAAGAAGTTGTATGCCTAAATTTAATTGAATCTGAAATTGAGAAGACAACACGTTTTTGAGACACTTGAAAAAAATTCACACAATATTTTACTTATTCTGTCAATTCATTTGTTAGGTAGATACCGCATATCTACACACGCAGGATAATAAATTGGCAGTTTGCCAAGTTCAGCAAGGCATGACTATGACAATGGGCTGCAAACAGGGCTGTTACGAAAACCATCATATATCATTATAACAAATTTAACATTAATGAATCGGTACACATCGGTTATTACACACTTTGTCAGTCACCCATTCTAAGTAAGCATATTAATATACATAGGTATTAAAAATGATTGTGAAAACAACTTTCTAGACCGGGTATTCTTACGCTTCGTCGCACAAAAAAAAAGAAAGAAGAAAAATGCAATAAATTAATAAAAACTTCAAAGTGACAGTTGTAGGTATTGTTCGTCTATTGTTTTTCTCAAATGACTGTGTTATATCAGAACACGATTCATAGTGAACTACCAATAAATTATTCTTCCTTTTTTGCTTTGCTTTTTAAAACTTAAAGGATTCTACATATCGAAAACTGCAGCGTTCATAAAGGTGACTATAAACAATTATGTGGAAAATAAAATTCTGTACGAATTGACCTATAAGTAATAGAATTTCCTACTATCAAACTTAGCTACGAGAAAGTCAAAACTTTTAATTTCTTCGATATAATTTTTCAGAAAACCTTGTATATCGATGAGATCCTTCATAATCCTTGAATTAAGAACTAATCTGTATGAACGTATATGAAACATATAAGTCTAACACTAGTTATATTTCTCATTTTCAGTGTGCAGTATAATTTGTCGCTGATTTTTTACCAAATCCAAAAATTTGTCGCTCCAACCGAAAAATAGACGAAATTCTAACCTAATATCAAGCTAACACCACAAATAGAGTATCTCGAAACAGAAATTACGTATAAAAATACTGTAAGCGCTTTAATTTGTCTCTGAAAGGTGGTATTTTTAGCAATTTTGTCGCTGATTTGTCAGTATTTTTTACGTTATTTCTATTTCCAGAAACGGTTGTGTAGTGTTGGCTTGAGCTAGAGGCTGGACTTGAGGCAAAATTGGTACAAATACCATATTCAGCGACAAACTATAGCCTTTGTAGCATTTTTCTACGCATTTTCTATATGTAATGTCACCCTGACGGCTTTCCAGTCGTTTTTCTCTGTATGGCTGGAAGATATCTCCCATTTCAACCGTTTGATTTAAAACTAATTTAACCATATGCGTAATTAATAATTAAAACCCAACTAATTCAAAGGCAAGTATATGAAACACTGCTAACAAAATTGAAACATAAATCAGGTAACTTCCATCAAAAAATCGTACTGCTATCAGTTTGTTTGTTACTTAAATTTCAATTTATAAATAATCGTTAGTTAATTGATAATTACGTAAAGTATGGAAAAACTAAAACAGACAATGTCTCTTAGAAGAGTGATATCCAACGATGTTCACGTCTTATATAAATTATATATGTAAAGTTTGTTTGTTTACTGCACAACGCAAATAGATAAGAAACCGCCATCTAATTACTATCGCCGTTAATGTAGTACCTACAATATCTTCTTAAAATCCGAAATTTTTATTACGTTACACCTTCAATCGACCCTTCCTTAAATACAAGTTAATATATCGTCAGCAAACATCTAATGGATTCTTTACATTAGCAAATTTACCTAAAAATAATAAATACAAGCACTTAAGTTTGCCTCGTATTTACAAAATTACAAAAAAAGTTAAAACAAATGCATAGGACAGCCAATTTAATATCCCATTATCAAGTAATAACTTTTAAAGACTTTACACCATTTAATGTTGCGTTGAATAATTCATATTTTTAAAGTTTTTATTTGAAAACATTCAAATTAATAAATAAAAACCATAATAATAATCAGTTCTCATTACGTTAAAATTCCCCTTTCAATACAATAATACGTTAAGTATTGACAGTTTTTACAGTAGATCATAAGAAAATTTGAAAATTTGTTTTGAATTAGACACTTTAACTGAAAATTTATCATTGTTCAAAGTGTTTTAGAAGTAAGAAACAAGTACTAAATAACGATCGAAGTGTCTTCCTTTGAGCTTGATTAAAATCCCCTTAGTCACTACGTGTATTGAGTTCAGAAAGATAACATCTCCTTAACATCGTCCTTCGGTTAATAGATATTGATTTGTTAGACAGATATAAATGTCTTACGTCCTAATTTCTGGCATTTCTTTATATAATATTTGCAACAGATAAAACAATAGCAAGTTGTTTTACAAAAATTAGTAGGC